TTCTCTACAATTGCACCATCAAAATCCAAGGGGTACTCGGGGCACCTATGATTTAGGGGTGCTACACAATACAGAGATAGCAATTTGATATTCAGGCCACATTTTTAATAAGCACCGCTTGCTAACTGTAATGGCCCGGTTGGGCCCACTATTAAATAGCTTTTTGTTGAGCCATTAGCCACTTGACTGACCTTCTAGTTTGGTCAGTCGTTTTTTTTTTTTGTTGGTTGTTTTTTTATTTTGACTTGTTTGTTTTTTGTCTTTGTATTTGGATGTGCTCCTTACACTATTCTTCTCCAAAATATTCACTTCAACATTCTCCAAATTCCTATAACTATGTCAATACAGAAGATAATGGACACAGAACATAAGATACATTAGATAGTAAAATTGAACCTGAATCGCAAGATTTGTGAAACACACATTTAATTTGACTTGATTTAATTTACTGCACGGTTGGCGCTGTGGCTGGGCAACTGGCTGCCGTGCAACGTGTCGCGGGTTCGATTCCCGCACGGAACAGTTCTTTGTGTGATCCACAGGTTGTTGTTCCGAGTCTGGGTGTTATGTGTATGTGATATTGTATGTCGCACCCACGACACAGGAGAAAATCCTAGTGTGGGGCAACGTTTTGCAAACAATATTCAGCAGAACACTGCAGTCACCACAACATAGGTAAATAGGAAATTCCTAAATCTATTGCAAGGTTCGTAGACCTATCAACAAATTTTGTAGCCATCCTCATATATTTTCCATAAATTTTACTATCACTCACTCTAATAATTTTATTAACAAAAGGACACAGACCAGCCCATCCACTCAGATGCTTAAAAAGTCGCATATGTGCGACATTATGATTCATTATGATATTTTTATTGAGTGCGCGAGGCGTCGGCATAACGAACTATTGTGACGCATCTGTTCATACTATCTAGTATTTTTTATGTTCTTTGACAAGAGCCCAAGCTGTATCGTATGTTTGTTTGTGAATTGGAGGAAATGATGTATTAATATCATTAAATGTTGTGGTTATTCGCTAAACGATGTTGATCAGAATGTATGGATTAGTTTTTGTCATGATTATGGAGTTAAAATTTTAGTTGTAGTCAAATGTTTTACTTTTGTGTACAAAAAACACCTACCAGACAAATCTTTGTGGCGAAACGAGACGTAACAACCAGTTTTCTTACATAGTGTAAAACGAAACGTTGTTTATTATAATAATTTAAACTAAATAAGATTTTGGTAAAATTATTATCGTCATTAATTATGGCCATAATTAATGACGATAATAATTTAAACTAAATAAATAAGTATATACAACTTAAAATATTAATTACTAAGAACTAAAATATTTACACTTAAAAAAAAATACATAGTATGGTATTTGCCCCCATGTATTTACATATTAAAGTACTTCTCAAATCAATAATCACAACCCCGAGATCACATGCTGAACAGTACCTACTTCACAGTAAACAACCAAATATGCATTTTAATTCACAAAGTAAAATCAGAAACTTTTAAAAAGGAACAGTGGTTTCATTAACTAGACTTTAATTAATATATACCTAATTAACAAAGTCCAAATGCACAATTCGAACTGAACTTACAGAACTTAGACAATACAACTTAGTTCTTACTTAGTTGAACTTAGCGAAGCAACGTATCACTTAATTAGTATTTCGGTAGTGACTGTGATCTAAGTTGTACAACTTAGCAGACCTAATTAGTAACGTCTTGTACCGTGTTGTAGTTTGCATGTAAATGTCTATTTAGGATGTGGAGATGTGTATGCCTGCATTAGTGTTATAATTACGTAGTAATTACTGGAAGTTTGGGTTGCCCTTATTCTAATCCATACAACGGGGTTTTGTAAGATAATATAGCACAAAAAATATAATTTACCCAAATTTGTAGGTAGGTGTAAGAGATTGCAGTTTAAAGATTCAGTTTAACATGGAATGTTCTACCTATCTGGTCTCCCACAACATTCACGACATAAGTACCTAGTTGTGAAGACAGTCACCGTACAGCTCACGCCTCATTTTACCTCTAAAGTCACACTTTCATTCATGCAAGATGACGATTACAGTTGACCTGATAACGTTACTGCAGTAAAATCGAAATTGCTAAATTAAAATCGAAGCGTACCTCTAATCAAGGCCTCCTATCAATTAGCCACGTTCCACGTCCAATTTGCGGCAGTTACCTCACGAAGCGTCCTCTTTAGTATGCAGGCCTAATATCCGGTTTGGCTACACACATCGACTTTAGGTTTCACTAATTAAATACAAATCTCAAGACAATTCACGAGAAATGGATTTCTAAGGGGTTGAACCACACGAGGTGAAAATTGTATAATTAATGCCGACAGATGGTCCCTAGTTCGTAATTGCGGTGTATTGCTGAATTTTCGTTTTGTTTTATATTAATTGGAATGAAATTGCTAAGATTTTTAATGTTATTTCGCTATGTTTACTTGAATGTACTGTTTGTTTTGTTTAGATTTAAGAATGCATGCGAAACGTACCTATATACGTACACATTTTTTTAAGGGGGGAAAATCATCGAATTGCTGCTCCCGCCTGGGCGAGGCGGCACCTTTGCCCTCCAAATTTTACTAATATGAGTAGATACATTTTGCAGTAGAAAGTACGATAGCTAACCATGATTTTGGATTGAATATTTCTACTTGAACCTTAAAATAAATATTTTTTGATAAAATCTGTTACGTTTCATGAAAACTTTCACCTCGTATACCACCGCCCTTGATCCGTCAAGTCGAAACTAACGGAAGTTATAATTTATGAAGCAAGTTCCGGAGCCTTCCCGAGTCTAGAGGTAATGAAACATCTGATATATAATGCACAACGTCTACTACCATTAAAACTACTACTAAGATTTTGTGTTAAGGAAGTTTCCTAGACATGAAGATTTTAGGAAACAAGAATAGTCAATATCATTTTTTTATGATACTAGCAAACCCGGCGAACTATGTTTCGCCACCAGATGGCTTCGTTTTATGTAACATTTCGTTTGGTGATTAAAGGATGAAGAAACGTTATTTTTATTTTTTATAAAGCTCACGGAGTCCGAGACCTTTCCAACGAATGTAAAACCGTGGAAATCGGTTCGTGCGTTCTGGAATTATAGCGTCAGGAAGGAAAACCAGACTTATTTTTATAAAGTAGATATCGCAAACGAGTATGTATATCATTTGATGATAAGATATCAATGTCTCAAAGTTATTCGCTGTTTTACGTGTCCATTCCATACAATATTACGTGTCTAGCAGCGAATAACTTACAAGCGTTGTTCCAAGCCCGAAGAAAATTAATCAGACACTACTTCATACCTATTTTCAATGAGTAATATCGATTTTGGTCTGTTACATTATTACTACTAAGGAGTGGAATTCTTTGCCAGAGTCTGTGTTTCCTGGGTGTCTTCAAGGCCCGAGTAAATATGTTGCTTATGGGCAAACGTGCTCCATCGTAGACCGCATGAACGCTTACCACCAAGCGACATAGTAGCCATACGTCGGCCCATGAAATATAAAAAACAATGAGCATCTCTAATGGTACAAGGTATTATAACTAAAATATCTATATCGATAGATTCTTATTAAAAGCATCAGAAATAACTTCAATTTAACTTGACCATTCTATGCTGCTCTTCAGCCTATCCCTTTGAGGAACAAAAGGTATAATGGCCAGATCGAAGCTACTGCTATCTACCGATTATACTCGGTACTTTTCATTCTGACAGTAAGCTAAGCGTCCCCTATACATGTTCGGCCCGTTGCAAGTGATACTCTGACATGCTGACAGATGGCGCTATTATATATTTTTATACACATTCACATGAAATTAGATTGAATTTGAGAAAATTGAGATTGAGATTATTAAAAGAGGATTACTAAACTAAATAGAAACATAAAGTAGGCAAATATAAGAAAAATGCTGGAGACGGACAGCCCTAACGCATGTTTACGTACGACGCGATTGTAGGTGTTTCTATAGATAGGTAACTCTGTCGTGCGGCCAAGTTACACTACTGTATGATATATTATGTACTAGCTTTTACCCGTGGCTTCGCTCACGTAGCAATAAGATAAAAAAGTAGCCTATGTGACATACACCAATACACACAGCGCCATCTATACCAATACTTTTGTTTTCCCTCGGGAATATCAATTTTTATTGATAAAAAGTACCCTATTATTTAATCCAGACTCCTAATTTTATGTCTGCAAAAATTCGAAGCAATCGGTTTGAACTTTGAAATTTGATATTGCCGAGGGAAAACAAAAGTATTGGTATAGATGGCGCTGTATGTATTGGTATATGTCACATAGGCTACTTTTTATCATTTCGTGACGCGAGCAAAGCCGCGGGTAAAAGCTAGTTTATAATATTAGTAAGGATTACCGTGATAAAATATTTTGGAATTGATCGATTTTTTTTTTAATAAGTTATGATATGGTATGTAAACATCTTCCTACTTCTTTAGTAAACGATACTTATTATACTCTTTGGTAAATGAAAAATTTATTTTTGATGCCTTATTAGAGCGTATTTATTTATTATTTTTTTAAGGTGTAAATATTTTAGTTCATAGTTATTTATATTTTAAGTTGTATATATTTTCATTTACCTAGTTATATTTACAGTTAAATAAAATAAATTAAATATTTTTCTTTGGTAAATATTACAAAACTATTTACATCTATGGAACTATCAGATTGCAGCAAAGAGTATATTATGTATAGGGGAATCAAAATCAAAGAGTATAATAAGTATACGCAAAGAGTAGGTATAATAAGTATATGGGAGGGGAAATGCAGAATGACAATGACACAAAATATTTGTTCTGCGTATTTTATCAAAAACATTAACATCAATTAGTCAAATACAATCAGAATATGTATTGTGATATAAGAAATTAATGGTGAAATGACTATTTCTTTTAGCAAATTAACTAAATTGCATCTTATTATCAATGTTTTCTTTCGGTTGAACGAATGTTTCGATTTACCTTATTTTCCGAAAAATTTTACGTTTCGTGTTATTCAAGGTGAACCAGCGAGTCCTTCTGATGTGCCTTATCAGGTCAGATTCATCATTTCACATTCAAACTAATGGTTCGTCTGTGCTTTGTATACCTAAGTGATATTTCTTCTATTTATCATATGGACCCTGTTAAGCCGAAAAGATACAGTAACTCTTTATGATACAGTAATCGTTATGATACAGTACCTATCGAATAGGTACTGTATCGTAATGATTACCTTAAAACTTAATTTACTCAAAAGTAATAAAATGTGAGCTGGATCTTTTCGGCTTAACAGGGTCCATATGTCTTTGAGTACAAATACAAACCTTGTTCACAATTTATTCCACGAAGTTTTAGGAGGAGGTTATTTCACCATCCTACAAATAATATCATCCTGCACGGAGTCCGGAATTGTGCCTGGTATATGGCAATAGGCTCACCCCCTATTACATGGGACTCATAACATAAATAGTGAAAAGTGGGTGTTATATTGTACAGTGGCATAATGTGCACTTCTGCATACCCCTTCGGGTAAAAGGCGTGATGTTATGTTAATGTATAGTTTAATAGCCATAATTTTATTCTCTAATTTACTCTTTTTATCTTGTACTTCCGAAGATAGCCTTCAAAACGAGATCAAAATATGATAGTGAGATGTTTTACACGTTTTGTGGTGGCGCCCTCATTGGCAGCTCTAAGATATTGACGGCAGCACATTGTTTCGTTGGAGAGAATAATGTTATATTGGCCATCTGCAAAGGGTAAAATATCTTTGTTATGTCATTTACGAGGTCTTTTTTTACCGAATTTTTTCATTTTACTAATATTATAAATGCGAAAGTTTGTCAATTTGTGTGTATGTTTGTTACCCGATCACGTCGAAACGGCTGAAGATATCGGATTGAAACTTGGAACGAGGATAGATTTTGATCTGGAATAACACAAAGGTTTTTTATCCCATTAGAACGCGAGTTGGGTAAGATGCGGGTAGAAGTTTAGTAATATAATTATTCCATATTTTTTCTTACATTTGCCATCCTTATTTTAATTGACAAGGTCATTCATTTCATTTCTAAACTCAAACTCTGTTAACATAATTATAGGAAAAATAAATTAGTCTAAGTTTTGTATTTTCTATCTAATTTGAATTCGAGTTTTCACATGTGAGATGATCTTCATTCAATCAATCGTTTATAAATAAGAGCTTTTTGTCTACTATAAACGTATAAACGTAACGCAATATGAAGGTTAAGTATATACATATTAGTTGTATACCTATATGATTACTTTTTTCGAGGGGGGGAAAATCATTGAATGACTTCTCCCGCCAGGGTGAGGCGGGATAGTGTCAGACTCTTACCTGACTTAAAACCACCCCGTTGCTAATCCTGCACTTCGAACCGGAGCCCCGGTAACTTGTTAAGTTCTCCGCGGCGCCGTATCGGCATCAGCCCTATTGGGCCCCATCCGTGGTGGTCCGATGACTTTTTGAGGTGCGCACGGAACGCGACATATACCTATAAACGTTACCAATCTTTTTCAGGTACACATATTTGCAAGATTTAACAGACAAGTATGCTGTTGCAGCGTCAATCAGAAATATGGCTCGTCAAGAAGAACCACACGAGCAGTGGAGACCTATACATAATGTTAGATATCCTCCTTCGTATAAATTCCCGCAACATGATATAGCTGTTGTGGTAAGTTATTCTTCATATAGTCAATCCTTTATCTTAAGAGATCTGTAACAATTACTAATATACATTTATAAACATAAAGAGAAGACAAACGTACGAATACGCAATATGAAGGTTAAGTTGTATATATGATTACTTTTTTAGAGGGGGGAAAATCATCGAATGACTTCTCCCGCCAGGGTGAGGCGGGATAGTGTCAGGCTCTTACCTGACTTAAAACCACCCCGTTCCTACTCCTGCACTTCAAGCCGGAGCCCCGGTAACTCGTTAAGTTCTCCGCGGCGCCGTATCGGCATCAGCCCTATTGGGCCCTATCCGTGGTGGTCCGATGGCTTTTTGAGCCGCGCGCGGAACGCGACGCACCGTACGCTCGGGTTTGGTTCCGAGGAGACGGAGACCATGGGCGGCGAGCCACCCATGGTCTCCGTCCGCAGGCCCGCGCTTACGGTGGCCGGAGATCGTCTCGCGGTATATGATTACTGAGAGTTTTCTTAATACCGACAAACTCCTAACATTGCTTTGCCTGCGACGTGAAATTATACTTGCTGTAGGTACAGGATCCCTCTTTATTATATTCATCATAACATCACGCCTTTTATCCCCGAAGGGGTAGGCAGAGGTGCACACAGAAGTAACACCCACTTTTCACTATTTATGTTATGAGTCCCAGTATTATAATATGGGTCATATAACATAGCTGGAAAAAATGTTTCATCGTATACGTGCAATTCTACTATCGTGGATTATAAAACGTGTTTGTTTCAGTTCGTATTGACTCCTTACACTTTAAATAATTTAGTAAAACCTATTGCAATAGCAAATACCTATGAAAATTATGAAGGTTACTGCTTGGTATCAGGGTATGGTGAAATTTCGAATAAGGTGAAGTATCATAATATTCTTCTAATACTTAAATGTTACTTTATAATTATGTTATCTTCTTTTTCAAAAACCTTATGAGAACCTGCTGTATTATGAATGATGTCTTGAAATCAGATTTTAAAACAAACGTGTAGCAAAAAATCCTCCAAGTTATGTCTCTTTTTTCTAAAGATAATTGAGATTGAGAAAGTTGATCAGTCCACAATGTGGACAGTGAGGTTTCATACTTACATAACTAGCATACGAGACCATCATTACTGAAATAGTTCTTCACTTAAACGCATTCTACTTGGTCAAGTTCAACCGCTGACTGTGGTGTCCTTGGTCGAGTTGACGTAGAAATCAGTTGATCAGGTGATATTTGGTTGATGTCTTGGTTTAGAGCACATTTATATAGTTGGCCCTGACTGTTTATCGGCTAAAATTAATCACCGATCTGAATATACAATCTCTGGAGCAGTCTTGTTTTTACAAAAAATTTATTAAGCTAAAATCACAAAACTACTCAATATCAATCTAGAAGATTTTAAATTAAGATTGGATATAAGGTATATTCAGTGGCCAAGTGACATGAGTGCCAGCTAAGAACACAATAGTCAGCAGTCGTCCTTGTGGAAGGTGTTTATACCCTAACAGAGGTTCCTTCTTCAGAAACATGAAAATTAAATCAAATTTATGTTTCAGGTTTCATCTGACACCTTAATGAAGGGATATGTGTTAATACTTGCGAATGAGAAATGCCCTCGCATTACTCAATATAGAAATTTAGATTATAACATATGCACATCAGCCATTGGAGCAGAAATTGGGAGAGTTAGTACAACTTGTTTAATATCATAGTGATACGTTGTCAGTGTCTCAAGCGTGATGGTGCGCATCCAAAACCTAACAAATAGCAATGAGACCTAGAGCACACCGGCGGAGTACGAAACAACAATTGATTTCGAGGCGGTCGGTAGGCACACGACTGAGCACCTCGAGCCTCTCTGGCATGCCGTTTTCATCCGAATACCATAGTAAATAAGGTTTAATTTAAAATGGATTTATTCTCAGTTTCTTCGCCCCTGGTGTCTGCTGGGCCTGAGTGCTGTCTTTCAAGTTAGGTATACGTACTTTCTTACTTTATTTAGGTGCCTACTTCCGTACTTCTAGTTTCAATGAATAATCTCAATTTGTGACAGATCGCCACTGACCTACATTATGTTGAATAGGCGTGTCGACAGGGTAAAAAAATAAAAAAAGTAATTAGTCAGTCATTAAAATCGCACGAAAATATCAGACACGTATTTTTTGTTTTATCAAATTAACAGAAGAATACGTAGTTATTCCGCATTAAAGTTAGGGAGTGGGGGGTGTTGACGTCACACTTACGGAGAAATCGTAGCTAATTGTGACGTCACGCGTCATTTTAACTCAAAATATCTACATGTTTTTTTGGATACGAGAAAAAAGAAAAAATACGTATCGAAGATTTTTAAAATATCTAAAAGACGGACAAAAAATTAAAAAATAGTCGCCATGCCTATTAAAACGTCGTAAGGATGTCATAAAGTGTATTCAACATTTTACCTCTTTATTTGACGATACTTATCTCTTCGCTCCACAGGGAGATTCAGGAGGCCCTTTAGTCTGCACAAGGACATACGCTGACACACATAAAAGTGAAAATATTTTGGTTGGTATTGCAAGTGGCGCATACCCTGGTCAAAATGCTTTCTTCTCGAGGGTTTCGGCGTATAGCAACTATATTCATACCCGAAGCAAGTGTACAAAAGATACCGAAAGTGTTTTTTTAATTATTTGTACCTTCACATTAATACAAAATTACATTGGTTTGCTGAGTTTTGATTTTCTTAGTGTTTAATGTACCTTAGTTCCTTAGTCTAAGGACCTTAGATAACATAACATAGCATAACATAGCCTAGCATGGTGTGGCATGACATGACCTGGCATAGCATAGCCTAGCATAGCATAGCATGACATGAGTTAGCTACAATAGAATGACAGTGCATGACATGGCCAAAGAATGCATTGCATGGCGTAGCATAGCATAGCGTAGCGTTGCATAGCATAGCATAGTACAGCATAGCATAGCCTAGCATGGCATAGCATAGAATGGCACGGCATGACATATAATAACATGGCATCGCATAGCATGGCATAACATAACATAACATAGCATATATTGGCATAGCATGGCATAGCATGGCATAACAAAACATAGCATAGCATAGCATAGTATGGCATAGCATAGCATAGCACAGCATAGAACGGCATATAGTATAGATAGCCTAACACGGCGCAGCATGGCATGGCATAGCATAGCGCAGCATAACATAGCCTAGCATAGCATAGCCTAACATGGCGCAGCATGGCATGGCATGGCATGGCATGGCATAGCATGGCATGGCATGGCACGGCATGGCATGGCATGGCATAGCTTGGCATGGCATGGCATGGCATGGCATGGAATGGCATGGCATGGCTTGGCATGGCATGGCGTTCCATGGCATAGCCTGGCATAGCCTGGCATAGCATGGCATAGCCTGGCATAGCATGGCATAGCGTGGCATAGCATAGCATGGCATGGCATAGCATAGCATAACATAGCATGGCATAACATGGCATAGCATGGCATAGCATGGCATAGCATGGCATAGCATGGCATAGCATGACATAGCATGGCATAGCATTGCATAGCATAGCATAGCATGGCATAGCATAGCATAGCATAGCATAGCATAGCATGGCATGGCATGGCATGGCATAGCATAGCATAGCACAGCTCAGTATAGCGTAGCATAGAATAGCGTAACATGGCAAGGCATGTCATAACATAGCATAGTATAGCATAGTATAGCGTTCCATGGTCCAAAGCATGGCAAGCATACTTAATGCTACCCACTTTTTACTATTTCTTTTTATGCATCCCATGTAATAGGGGGTGACCCTATTGCCATACACTGGGCTCAATTCCAGCCTCCCTGCCACTAATGAGATTTTTTTCATAACCCAGTAAATCTTTGCCCGACCCGGGAATCGAACCCAAGATCCCTTGCCCGTTATGCGGCATTTACAATTGCAGCCAGTCGACCAACGAGGCAGACCTTAAATACCCCATGTATTTAAGTAGCTATAGTAAGAAAATGTAAATTGCATCGAAAAAATATCATGAAAATTTGTTAAATTACCTGCCAGGTAGAAAGTCCCACCGAAATGATCTGCTTTTTTGAAAATTTTATTTTTTAGTTATACATAATACTCTATTAAAATTTCAAGTTGCCTCAAATACATTTTTATACTTTTTTGCAAAATATTTTTGAACGCGTCTGGCAATGTTAAAACCCCGGCTGAATCGCCTGGCTTATTTTATATTCTGTAAATATTAAACTACAACATATAAAAATTGCAAATTGCCTCAAGTATATTTGTAAAAAAAAATATATTCTAAAAAATTTGTGGGTTGATTTAACCCCGCTACTCTCCAGCCAGGTCTGCAGTTTCGTGTTGGGATGTAATAGGAGAGGTACAGAAAAAGTTTTCAGCTTGCCTCAAATACCTACCCAAAAATTCTTGCCAGCTCTTGGACTACGACACGCCTCCAACCCAGCAATGTCATAACGCCGTGCTCCAGCACGGTGTTAACAATAAACGCCGTGCCGGATCCGTGCTTGTTAAGTATGTAATGACTTTTAACGTTCTTGCTCTTGCGGCCCTTTGAGACTTGCTCATAAGGATTTCAATGGTCTTGCTTCACTATCTTACTATAAAGAAAAACTTTTTTAATGTTTATTTATTTACAGGGTTATTTCTTAAAAGAAAACGACACCCCGATTATTGAGTACAAAAAAAACAAAACAGTGTAATGACCTGGGTTCGGGTAACTGGGTGATGAAAGATTAAACCTCGGCAAAAGGTACATAAAATTTATTCAACATTGACAATAATATTAAACTAAACTAAATAACTGTAAATCACTTAAAAAAACATAGAAAAGGCATAAAACCTAAATAAAACAGCAAAATCAGAATACAGGAAAAAATGAATTATAACAAAAGTTTTCTGAGACTTGGGTTCGAACCCGAGTTCAACCGTGTCGACGTATACGATGCTACACCCCGAGACCAACTGGTTACTTGAGAACAATGGTGAATATCTTAATCTCTATGCGTCAGGATCGACTGGCGTAATGGAGGCTGAATCACAGTCCTAAAGTTTCTCCCGAATAATTAAGGGCGTATCCGCAAGCTGAGGACAATGTAAAAACAATCAGCCTTGCAAAATATTGCCGATGATCCAGTGTACACTTCCGTAAAGTAAAAGCAAACACTTACCCCGTTACTGCAACCACACTCACTTGTCACTGGCAATAATACTTATATATTTATTATTCATTACAGATTTCTGATCAATTATGGCTTTGAGTTACAGCAATTATGCAAATTAAATGAGCACCCGTAAGCTGTCTCCTTTCTTTATATAATCGTCATCTGTCAGATTTATTTTTTTTCATTTTCTTTTACTGCCACCCTCACTTGACCATAATAAATATATGATTTATATTAATGTGGCTAGCCTAGTAACGCCATCTATTAATGCACTTAAGAACTAAATATCGATCATTACAATATCCCCTCTCCTCTGAGGAATCCAACCGGATTCAAACCAAACGTTTAAGGTCACAAGAATGCCATTTTCCTAAATCTTTTCCCTTGAAACTCTTTAGTCTGTAAACGTCGTCTGATATCTTTTCGGCTACGACTGCTTTTTCAAACTTAGGTGCCAATTTGGACATAAAAGACTTGTCAGCATTCGATAGCAGCTTAGTGCGCTTCCAAACCAGATCACCCTCATCATATCTACAAGTACGACGTCTCTTATTGTACTGATCACTGTTGGTCTCATGTGACTGCCGCATTCTTTCAGAAACTTCCTCATAAATTTTATTTCTGAAGGCCATATTTCTTTCAAATCTCTCTTTATCGAAAGTTATCGGTTGACCCGGTTCAAAGTTGTAAGGTTTCATGGCCCGGATTATTGTTTCGCGTCCAAAAAACAAATACGCTGGCGTTTTCCCGGTCACTTCATGAACCGATGTCCTGATTGCATGACCTATGTGTGGTATGTACTTGTCCCATTCCTTGTGATTATCTTCCACGTAAGAAGCTATAGCCGAGCCAATGACCTTGTTTACTCGTTCAGTGGGATTAGCCTGAGGATGATAATAAGGAGTGTACCATAGTTTTACACCGTACTCTGAAACTAAATCCTTAAACTGGTTGGATACAAATTGCTTCCCATTATCACAAACTATTACGCTGGGGGTTCCATACATTAAAAATATATCTTCCTCCAGTATTCGAGCTATAGTTGATGACTTTCCATTCCGGAGAGGGTACAAAAAACAGAATTTGCTGAACCAGCACGTGATACAACTGTTCCATAATCTGTATGGCCTCTTCGCCAAGCGACTTCTGTAAGATGTCCTTATCATGTTCAGAAATTCCCTCATCATCCTCACCTTCTTCTTGCTCAAGTTGTCTTAATGACGATAAGGTATCTTGAATATTCTTTAGCAAGGTCGAATGATTCGCAATATCACTAGACTCCGAGGGTATTATTAGTTTAGCACGATTTGACAAGTGTGTCAAACGAGAGTGTATGCGTTTACAAAACGAGTGCTCAGGACTGTGTGATACTTCAGATATAAGTAAATTAATAGCTGATAATTTCTTTTTACAAATTAATATTTCATCTTTTGGATTCTCGATGCATGACTTAGGTGCCTTAAAGGAAATAGAGGACTCACCTGACTGCTCGCGAACTAAAATTTCTCGCAAAAATTTCCGCATAGTCGCCACGGTTTTACAATCAGAAACCCCTCGACATGCCAACTCAAATTCGAGCTCATCTTTATATAATGCATTAACATCCATGACTAAGCAATAATAGAACTTTAAATAATCAAAACAATATTTACTTGATGAATATAATACTTACTACCTACCACTACCCACGAAATTACAATATCTGTCCGGAATGAATGCCTACTTCTTACACTGTTACACAAGAATCTCTTTACAATACACCTTGTTAATCCTTCATTCAGTTAACCCTTGGGCGCCAATGTAATGACCTGGGTTCGGGTAACTGGGTGATGAAAGATTAAACCGCGGCAAAAGGTACATAAAATTTATTCAACATTGACAATAATATTAAACTAAACTAAATAACTGTAAATCACTTAAAAAAACATAGAAAAGGCATAAAACCTAAATAAAACAGCAAAATCAGAATACAGGAAAAAATGAATTATAACAAAAGTTTTCTGAGACTTGGGTTCGAACCCGAGTTCAACCGTGTCGACGTATACGATGCTACACCCCGAGACCAACTGGTTACTTGAGAACAATGGTGAATATCTTAATCTCTATGCGTCAGGATCAACTGGCGTAATGGAGGCTGAATCACAGTCCTAAAGTTTCTCCCGAATAATTAAGGGCGTATCCGCAAGCTGAGGACAATGTAAAAACAATCAGCCTTGCAAAATATTGCCGATGATCCAGTGTACACTTCCGTAAAGTAAAAGCAAACACTTACCCCGTTACTGCAACCACACTCACTTGTCACTGGCAATAATACTTATATATTTATTATTCATTACAGATTTCTGATCAATTATGGCTTTGAGTTACAGCAATTATGCAAATTAAATGAGCACCCGTAAGCTGTCTCCTTTCTTTATATAATCGTCATCTGTCAGATTTATTTTTTTTCATTTTCTTTTACTGCCACCCTCACTTGACCATAATAAATATATGATTTATATTAATGTGGCTAGCCTAGTAACGCCATCTATTAATGCACTTAAGAACTAAATATCGATCATTACAACAGAACACTTATAAAAGACTTAGATTTAAGTTAACCTACCCGCAGCCTATTTATTTTCTTTCTTGCATTGATCTTATATCTCTATGTCTCTGCAGATAATGATCCAAAAAAAAACTAAAACAAACAATTGCCAATGTCAAAGAATAAAATCATGCATGAAAAAGTAAAAATGTATAATTTGACAAATTGACAGTCATGACAGATTAAATTATATTTTGGTAACAGATTTCAAAATTATCGTTTCATGTTTTCTAAATTTTTGTTAATTATACTAATGTTTGCAAAAAAATGTTTTTCAAACGATGTAGTTTCCAACGTATCAAATGACATGATCCACTTGGCAGAACAAATAGAGTCGGGGACATGGGTTCCTCGGGTTGTGAATGGCTATCCAGCTAAGTTAGGCGATGTTCCGTATCAAGTGCGCATTTCTTAATTATCATTTATACTCACTGGAGTCACTGCTCCAGAAAGACTAATCAATGATTTCCAAAAACTTACAGATAGCTATGAAAATTCTAGTGAGTCGTGCAAAAAGCTTATACATGACGTTTTGTGGTGCAACTTTAGTGGCTCCAAATAAAATGATAACAGCTGCTCACTGCTTTGAGGAAGAAGGAAGGAGTAACTGTCAAAAGCTTTTCTACCCAGGGTATGATTCTATGTATTAAAAGCTGTAAAATACAGGTGAAATCTACCTGTAAAGGTGTTAATGAACGGGTCATATTTTTTGATATACGGTGAAATGGGGTGAATAGAAATCGAACGGTGAATAGATTCGCGAATTAAGTAAAAACGCGGGTTACTCACGTGAATATACTGAGAAAAGCTGCGCGACGTCGCCGCGACCGCGCACGCTGCTCATGAGGAAGAACCCCTCTGTGGTTCGAAACTAGTAGAGCTTTTCTCAGTATATTCACGTGAGTAACCCGCGTTTTTACTTAATTTAGTATGTCTCACGATAGTTATTATAAAAAGATTCGCGAATGTTAGATAACAATGAAATTCCTAATACCTATTCACCCCTTTTGCGACCCTATTCACCCCGCAAATTTTATTCATCCCGTTTCATTCGTTATGTACATATCTGGGTTGCATTGCGAACGTGGCAGTTAAATCCCGATTATAACCAAAAATTTGTTGGTATAGAATATATCATTATTTTCAAACAACATGCCTGATTAACTCGTCGAGTACCGGTTTTGTAGACACAATTATAGAACAATAGGTTGCGGTCACCGGTGACCGCTTGGTGTTTGACAGTTTAAAAGTGATACAGAAATGAGAATTCGACTCCTACGAAAATCGGAAGGCAAATGAAAATTATCGCCGCAACCTAGGAAGTAAACCACAATCATCATCAGATCCGTGTGAGTCCAATGCTGGTCTAAGGACCTCCTCTACAACAGAGAGGTTTGCAGTAATCTCCAAGCCCATATAGTCATACATTAACTGCATTCATAACCAAAACGAATGCAATTATTAATAATTTACACAAAACAGAAATTATTTAGAAGTAAAATTGGACATATGTATGTATAAAAGTAAAACTCCATCTGTCTTGTTTAAACATTATACATACAATATCGCACCTACGGTGCAATATCGTCACTTATGCAATTTTTGTCAAACCTTAACTGATGAAAGAATACTCCAAATTCACCTCTTTACTTGATGCGTTATTTATTGTCATTTGTGTAGTAAGCAAACTGACATTGTGAGGGCATTACTGTCGTTACGGTTTTGGCGCTAATCTGGACGGCACTAGGAGAAACAACGTTTCATTGTTCAGTTGCGCGCGGGCCCCCGAAATACATAAGTGACGGTATAGCACCGGAGGTACGATATGGTAATAAGTAGAAGATTTTCTATGAAAATAAGTAAATTTCAAATTTCAGAAATAATAAATGAATGTCATTTATTTCTCATTACATTGTGCACACAGATCTTAAAATTGACTAATTCCACACATACTGCCGTTACCGGTGTAGAAGTATAAGAGATTGTCCTCTTTCACAAGATTGTTAAAAGTTGACTGCCTCGTTGGCAAGTGGTCGCAAGTGCGACTGCTGGGCAAGGGGTCTCGAGTTCGATTTCCGGGTCGGGCAAAATATTACTGAGTTTTTAAAGAATCTCAGTAGTAGCACGGAGTCTGGAGTTGTACACCTCCTATTATATGGGACTCATAACATAATTAGTAAAAAGTGAGTGTTACATTGTACAGTAGCATTAAGTGCCGTAATGTACACCTCTGCCTACACCTTCGAGAATATAAGGCGTGATGTTATGTAATCTCTTTGTTAAAAGTTGCGAGGACCAGAACTATCTGGTCCTTGCAGAAAAAATATACTAATTACTACTAATTACTAACCCACACAGTTTTGACTTGATAGAAGGACACACGGACTCAAGTTTAAAATGTACCTGTTATTTTTATAGACAAGCCAGTTCTCAGTTACTGAAAAATAGATATGCGGTTGCTGGAAACCTATATAACCTTGCAAAATATTCTTCGTCTGACACTGACGGTCAGTGGCGTGCATTGAAACGAGTGGTTTATCCGAAAAAATATATCTTTCCAAGACATGACATAGCAGTTGCTGTAAGTATACTTGACGGCATATAATATGTGTCTAAAGTATTGTAATGATGAGACACACGTTTCGTCAGATATTTCGTTTTTATATAGATTTTCAAGGGATGGCAGGCCTAACGGTAAGGTCTCTTGGTGGTAAGCAATCGACGCCGCTCTTGGACAACCATAATACAAGGAGACAAGTGCGTTGCTAACATTTTAGGCGTGAGAGATTAGAGATAGTAAAATACCTTCTTTTTGGATTTTGTTATTAATTTTTACTTTCCCATCTAAAGAGATATAAGTACGTACCTACTGGTGTAATAAATTAATATAAATTGTTGTTTTTATGAATAACCATTTGTTCATTCATTTATTGTTTTTTTTTTTATATATTTATGTAACTTCAGGCTGCCTCGTTGGCGAGTTGTCGCAAGTACGACTGCCGAGCAAGAGGTCTAGGGTTCGATTCCCGGGTCGGGCAAAGAATTACTGTGATTTTAAAAAAGTGTCAATAGTAGCACGGAGTCTGGAATTGTGCCCGGTATATGGCAATAGGCTCACCCCCTATTACATGGGACTCATAACATAAATAGTGATAAGTGAGTGTTACATTGTACTTGCAGTGGTATTAAGTCGGCACTTAATGCCACTGTACAATGGCAAAAGGCATGTTATGTAAGTACGTATTCAACTTCAAATAATTTAAATTCCTTTCTTCCAGTACACAAAACATCCTTTTAATTATAATAATAACATTGGTCCAATACCGTATGCTAAACGACATACTGATTATAGAGGCAAGTGTTTGGTCTCCGGATATGGAAGAACAGGACAAGGAAAAAAGGTATGAACCATTTTTTTAATCTACTTCAAGAAAAACCAAATAATGTGCAATACAGTATATATAGCTAGTATATACTGGCTGTACCTCGCGACTTCGTCCGCGTATAATAATGACTTTTGGCAAATGTTGTTTTTTTTAATTAGTCTTCTCCAAGGTTGTGTTCTAAAAATCTCATCAGAATTTATTTCTTTATTTTATTTTATAAAGCATGGTTAACATAATATTTCTACACCAGCAATGGTAGTGTATGTGAAACAATATTTAATGAAAACCTCAATGTACCATATACTTGGAAATAAATGACATTCATTCATTCATTCATTCAAGAATTTTAGAAATTTAGTTATTGTTGTGAAATGTTGTTTATTTTCGTGATTTCAAGTTTCTGGAAATTTGTATAGAGCATTTCGTAATTATCAAGAAACTTTAAATTAGTATCATATTTGTGATCAGGAAAACATCGGGCGCCAATTCTTTTTTTATCCTTTATAAACCTGCCCTCAATAGGTACTTTAAAAGAGCACGAACGAAACCGTGGGCAGAATCTAATCTATGAATAAAATGTATTCATGCTGCTAAATACTATTGTTAGTTCTTGAAAACAGTTTTCTATTGGCAGTCAAGGGCTTATTAAAGCAAAGCAATATAAGGAGGTA